ATTGGGAAAGGCTCAGAGAGTGCATCACCATACCTGACTTGGCCTTGCTGATCCTCATGTAACAGAATAATCATTTTCAGGAACTTGGGGGGACAACCTAATCGTTCTAAGATCAGCCACAAGCCTTTCTTGCTCACAGTGTCAAAAGCTTTGGTGAGGTCAACGAAAGTTACGTATAACCCCTTATTCTGTTCTCTACACTTTTCTTGCAATTGTCTGAGAACAAATACCATGTCTGTGGTACTTCTATTAGCCCTGAAACCACACTGACTTTCAGGTAGAAGTTCTTCTGCGATGGCAGGTACTAGTCTGTTCAATAGTATTCTTGCAAGAATTTTACCAGCAATGGAGAGCAGAGTTATACCACGGTAGTTTGAGCAGTCTGACTTGGCACCTTTTTTCTTATACAGAGTGACGATGATTGCGTCACGAAAGTCTGACGGTATTTTGCCTTGTTCCCAACAGCACACAACTAGCTCATGAAATTTAGCATGGAGTGCTTGGCCTCCATGCTTCCATATTTCAGGTGGGACTCCGTCAACCCCAGCTGCCTTGCCAGTTTTCACCTGCTGTATGGCCTTAAGAGTCTCTCCCATGGTAGGGGCTAAATCCAATTCGTTTTTCACCGGATGTTGCAGAATGTGCTGGATTCCTTCGCCTTGGACTACACGATTTGCACTAAAGAGGGTTTGAAAATGTTCAGACCAACGATTCAGGATGGAGATTTTATCTGTAAGAAGCGTTTGGCCATCTGCACCAAGTAAGGGGCTTTGAACCTGGAATGTGGGTCCATACACTGCCTTCAGAGCCTCATAGAATCCTCTGTGGTCACCCAAATCTGCACATAGTTGAGTCTTTTCTGCTAGGTTGAGCCACCACTTGTTCTGGATGTCTCTAAGTTTCTGTTGGAGTTTGCTACATGCAAGACGAAAGGCTGCTTTTCTTGCATGGCAGAGTGGCTGAGCGAGGTGTGCTTGATGAGCAGATCTCTTTTTTGTCAGCAATTCCTGGACCTCCTGGTTGCTATCGTCAAACCAGTCTTTGTTTTTCTTTGAGGAGAACCCAATGGATTCTACGGAGGACTGGAGGATGCTGTTTTTGATATGTTGCCAAAGCACTTCAGGAGAAGAATCTGTAAGTTGGTCTTCAAGCCTAGTTTGAAGGTTAGCCTGAAAGCTGTCCCTCACTGCAGCTATTTGAAGATTATCAACATTGAGCCTCCTCCTTGGAATGCCGCCCCTCTTAGGTTTGGGCTTGAAGTGGAAATTAAGTTTGCAACGCACAAGGCGGTGGTCTGTTTGGCATTCTGCACTAGGCATCACTCTGGTCTGGCAGACATCATGAATATTTCTCTGGCGCACTAAAACATAATCAATAAGGTGCCAATGTTTAGATCGTGGATGCATCCAGGTTGTCTTCCAGCTGTCTTTCTGCTGGAAGATAGTGTTGGTGATGGTAAGCTGTTGCTCTGCACAGAACTCTAGTTCTAAGTCTAAGTTACGGTCTAAGTTCTAAGTCTAGTTACGGTCTAAGAATGTGTCAAATGGCTCATTTTTGCCCTGCATTATTTTCATATAAGCTGGATCTGCATTCGCCTCCTTAATTTGTAACAACGTTTTCATAGCTGTTTGCATTGATTCTTTAAGCAGATTTGGTCCCATACCAGCCTGCGCCTCCTTACTAGCCCACGCACCTATCCCCATAAGGTGTTCTATAGTCACCCCCACAAAAGGGTCTCTAGGATCTCTTTGTACATTACATACCTCCTGACATTGTTCCTGCCAGTACATCTGCCACAACAATATCTGTGAGGGAGTCAATATTAATTTGATAATGCTCTTAATGTCTTCAATGAGCAACAAACCTGAGCCCCAGATATAGTTTAACATTTGTTTTGCGGGCTTGGACTGTAAGCCAGATTCTGCCACGGTTTGCCAAAGTTGAGTCAAAATTTCCCAATTTAAGGGCGTTATAGTTACATCAATATTGCCTTGTGCATCAGGTGTATATATTACAGGAAAGGCACTCGAATCGTGGAGATCTCTAGCTCCTTCACAATCCTCATTTTGAATAGCTTCTCTATAAATGGCCTTCCAATTTACTGTTTCACGTTGTGAGATCTTATTTTGCCCACAATCACTGCATCGGGCCGCGGCATCTTTTAAGGTTTGCTCATCTGAGGGATCCGAGCCAGAAGGTCCGGAATCCAGAGGAGCAGAAGGCTTCATCAGTACAGAATCAGCCAAACAGGGGGCTTGGGGTAACTGAAAAGTAGCCACAGAAGGTGGCATCGGGATTTCCCCACTTCCAAGTGCTATCGCTCCAGGAGGAGGTGATGGCTCGGGTACAGACACATTATTTAATTTTTCTTTCGCGACAGCGGCGATACGCTGTTCCGCGGCATATTTCTGCACGTATCGCATAACACATTTCCAATTCTTTGCCAATTTGTGTGCCTGCTTATTATCATCTATGACCTGTTCCCAGAGGATATCACCAAATCTTTTCCACTCAGCTAGTTCAAACACTTTATCTGAATCTTGAAAGCACCCCACACCCTTGCTGTAATCAAGGAGGGTGGTAAGCTCTTTCCCTAAATCCATTTCTTTCCCTATACTTCGCTTCTCTAAGAAGCATTTAAATAAATCATAGCCTGCCTGTCTTTCCACATCCATTTTTATATTCCTCCCAGCTTCTTATTTTCTTACACAGCTTTATAGAGCTCTAGCGCTTTTATATTTATACTTGCAGTGCTTTTATATTTACACAATTTTACTGAGCACTTTACATCCTTACAGTGCTTTTTTACATTTACACAGTTTTACAGAGCTCTTTATATTTTCACAGCGCTGTTTAGATAGCTAGCTTTTTATATTTTTCATGAGTTACACAGCTTTGGCGCCAATGCAGCTTACCCCACAGACAGCCAAATTAGCGGGTGGCGAAGGCAGAGGCTCCTCTACTGGTGAACCGGCTCCTCTCCTCCAGGTCCTCGAGGCAACTCGGTACTCTTGTCCAGCAAGATCGGTGCCTTTGACCCTCCGGATGCTGCTTATCCAGTGCTTCCCCGCTCCGCTCGTGTCGACCCCAGCCTCTACGGGTACCTGGGTTTCGTCATTTCTCCTGGGTCTAAGTCCCTTGTTCGGGCGCCAATTTGTCGGAGACTCTATGTCGTTGCGATGTGGAGGGAACACAGCACAACCAGTATGATTGATAGAAGTGATCCATTTATTCTGCTTAAGCCTGGGGTTTATATAGAGCTAGGCTTTTATTCACACATATTCTTGGGAAACTTCTGTGGTTTTATTATTTACAGGCACATCCCGTTTTCTAACCTCCTCATTCCTCCCTTCAGGATACTCGTTAACTACAAGGTCAGTTTACCCCCCTTCACAGCTGGTGTTTTTTACGGAGCTGGGTTTCTCACTGACTTTTACAAAACTGGTCCCTGGTCAAGTTCAGCCATGGGAACGTAACCCTTGCCTGCCAACCACGCTTCCACAAAGGGGTATCTGGGAACTGCAGGTGTCCAGGATGGGCTACAGTTAAACTAACTGATAAGTAGGAGGATAGGAGGATTATTATGTCTCTGGTGCTAACGAACCAATTAAACTGGTATAAGCATCTACTGCGCGTGCTTCAAAGGCTGCCAGAAGTGATGAAGATTGTTGGAAGAAGTAAACGACCCTCAGAGACCACCACCACAATTCTGTACACATGCAGGGAACTCTCTGGAAAATGATGTAATCCATATGTAGCCTCATGAATATGTATGTATGCCCAGGGACTATATAAGGATGGCTTGTATAGCAATACGGGGACACACGTTAGGAGGAGCTATCCCCCGTGTCTCCTGGTGCCGCAATAAAGAATACCTGCTTGTCAGCTTGAAAACTTTGTTGGCAAGTTTGTTCCTGGAGTTTTCTCTTGAATCACTCCTCCAAAGGCATGCGCACCTCACCGTTCTTCTTCATATTTATCCTCTAAACTATTTCATATTTATGAGGTTATGCAACACGCCTATACATATGCATGACCTATCTCCGCTTCATATTATAACGAGGTAAATGTTCCTTCCTTGCGTCGTGTCTCCTGGTGGTCATGGGTGAGGGTCTCAAGATGAAGTAAACGAGTCTTCCCTGAACTTTTCATCTCTTGTCATGGCACATGTTCCCTGGTGATTTAGTCACTGTCCAAACCGCAAAGCTGATTTCAGTTGGTTTAGGGGTCCAGAGAACAGGAGTTACTTCCTCTTATCTATAGCCTGGTCCTCCAACCCTATTCGGGCAAGCACGATAAGTGTTGAGCAAGCATTTGTTGAGTAAGCACGAGTAATCAGTAACATTAAGAAAGTGGCTTAACCCTAACCGCCCTGTACATTGGTTAACCCTTCACATCACCTGGATGATGAGAGGATGTTCTGCAAGGTGTCCTCTCCCCTGCTCCAGCATAGACCAGCCAACACAAACCCTTGAGTAATACCTTGTTCGTCTCAAAGCTGGTAGGAATAATTTCCTTCGGTTTTCTACATTTGGCATGCTACTTGTGATAAACACATAAATGTATTGGCCTTCGCAAATCATAGTTGTTGCTATGTGGATATAATTGTATGAGTTCCCAAAGCTTGCTAAAGACACAAGATTAGACAACAAGTTGAAAATGGCAAGAACTTTTGAGCAAAATGGAGTCACATAGCAAAAGAATTTGTAAAGGTAAAAGAAATGGGGGGGGGGGCTTAATATGAGGAAAGATAGTGCCTGGAAAACATAGGGTTAAAGTATCTTTAGCTTAACTTGGGTTGAAGATAAAGAGCAATGTTTGTGTTGTAAGTCTGTGGTGAGATAACAGAATTTAGTGTCCCCACTAAACATGAGTGAATTACTTCACACTATCCTTCTACTTATCAGTTAGTTTAGAGACAGTGCCTCCCAAACATCTGCCAGCTTTGGATACTTCTTGTCTGCTTGTCCAGTTTTGCTTGCAATAAATGTTGCGGGAAGGTCACACTGGTCTAAATCTTTGCCAGCTATCAGAGAAAATACAGATATGGCTGGTTTCAGCTACTTTTGTGATTACTGGGGCATCCAACTGTGCCAAAGGTGAGGAAGACTGCTTACTTCATCTTGAAGACCCCTGCCTGCATGAGGAAGACTGATTACTTCATCCTCAAGACCACTGCCCACAATTACCGGAGAGCAGTGTGCAGATGCCAAGAGGAGGAGACTTATGATAATAAATTCCTGGAGCTAGTTATAATATTCCTTGCCTATACGTGGGAATTATGAATATGTATATGGCTAATGCAATAGTGAAAGTATATAAACCTGCAACAAATGCTAATCAGTGTGCCTCTGGCTACAGTCACATGCCCAGCGCTGTTGCTTTATTGACTTTGTCCCTCAATAAAAGCCTTTTATCTCAATTAGAGGAGTGAGCTCATATTTCACATAGTGTTTATATGTTTTAATTCCAAATCTATTTGTTTCTTCACAAGTTCATCCTTTGAATTCACTTTTAATCGGCAGATGAATTTTCAAATGTTCTTTGATATATTTATTTATTTATTTATTTATTTTTAAGTTAGGCTGTGTTCCGGGCTACCTGAATAAATCCTTTGCCAAGAGAATTCACTTCTGTGGAGCTGTGAGCAATGACCAGGGTGATGGTACACTGGGACGTTTGTGCGAATAGTGCAGGGCCCTCGGTGGCTCCCAGGGTGCAGCCAGCGTGGCTATGCTGCTTGGCGGCATGCCACCGCTCCCAGGCCCAGCCTGCTGCAGGATACGGTGCGTGGTTGTCCTCGACCCCCTCCGTCTCTCCTAACCTGGAGATAGTAGCAGAGCCCTGCTGGGGCGCGGGCCCTTTAAGACGGCGCCATCTTTTCTACGGGCGTTGTAAAACTGCCGCCAGGCGCTTGTACTGTGGTCCTTATTGCGCTGTTTTCGTGCTACTGCTCATTGGTTGTCGCTGCTGCACTTCTGTGCGCCGCGCCTCCGGTTCCTTTTCTGGTCGGCCATTTGCCGTGGAGGCAGGTGAGTTGGCATTTTGCTGTGTTTTTGCGATTTATCTGCTGTCATCCGTTCTTTGGGGGTCGTGCTTCTGATCGGATTATGCTTCGGAGATGCTAGAAGCCTTGTTCGGGGCACGGAGAGTTGCGCCTAGGCCCGGAGTGGGCGCTGACTGGAGCCGGCCCTGGGCCGAGATGTAGGAAGGCTCGGGGCTCTCTGGGCAGTACGAGATGGGCTCTTATCCAATTCTTTGGGGAGGCCCTTAGTCCCGGTAACCCAGTGTCTGCCTTTAGCCGTGCTCGTGTCCGCAGGCCCCAGAAGTGATTCAGAGAAATCTCCAGGAGCTCTCCAACAAAGTTGACAAGCTGGTGTTCTTTATTGTGGCACCAGGTGACACGGGGGATAGCTCCTAGCATGTCCTCGTATTGCTACGCAAGCTGTCACTGAGCGTACATATTCATTGCGTACATACATGCATATTCATGAGGCTACTTATGTATTACATCATTTTCCAGAAAGCTTCCCTGCATGAGTACTAAAATGTGGTGGTCTTTGAGTGTCGTTTACTTCTTCAACAATTTTTATCGCTTCTGGCAGCTTTTGAAGCACGTGCAGTAGATATTTATACCAGCTTAATTGGTTTAGTAACACTGCAGACATAGCAATCATCCTGTCCTCCTACTTACCGGTTAGTTTAGTTACAGCCCATCCTGGACACCTGCTAATCCCAGGTACTCCCCATCCACATGTCCTGTTTTTCTTACACTTATTTTTGTACTAAGGTCATAAGGACCTAAAACTACGCCAACCCAAATGATTTATCTTATACAAGAATTCTCATTATGTTCTTTAGCTGCACTCTACCATTTTTTTCTTTTGTGAAGCATGCACCTCAGTTATGTTTCCATTGCTAGTGTTACAAAGCCATCAAATTTAACATGATTTAAAAGTGATTCTACTTATTTACAAAAGTTTATATTTCATTTTGTGTATCCTTGTCTCAGAAGCCATGGCGCCCAGCCATAATGGCATGATCCTGAAGCCCCACTTTCATAAGGACTGGCAGCAGCAAGCAGCCACATGGTTCAACCAACCTTCCCGAAAGATCCGTAGGTGAGTGACTGCAACCCAGCTTCCCTGGGGTGCTTCTGGGCATGCTTAGCACCTATAACTGGGGAATGTTGTCTCTTGTTTTGTATCGGGCTGCTTAGGGAGCTGAAGTGCTGTGTGATTATTTTCAGCTGTTGCTCTCATGTTACTTGTTAGAGGTTTGGGGTTGTAGCAGGGTTCTCATTTGGTGTGGAGTCTTGGTCAGGGTCAGGCCATTCCAGCTGCAGTCAAGTGATAAGAAATCTCCAGAATTGCTGTACCACATTGATGATTCCCTGTAACCTTTTATATCTGATGACTGCAGCTACTCTACAGAAGCATCCATTAGGCTGCCAGGCCAGTTATGTGTTTGTATCTGTGAGATCCTTGTATGGCAGGAGCCTCCCTGCAAAGGGTGGTCGGCTGGCAGCGTAGGAGTGGCACCAGAGGAGGCCATAAAGATACTCTGGGGGCTGGAGCAGCTTTCCTATGAAGGCAGGTTGAGAGAGCTGGGGTTTTTCAGCCCAGAGAAGGCTTTGGGGAGACCTTAGAGGAGCTTTCAGTGCCTTAAGGGGTTGTCAGGAAAGCTGGAGAGGGACTTTTTACAAGGGACAGGATAAGGGGTGACAGCTTTAAACTAACCGGAGTTTGAGATGAGATCTTAGGAAATTCTTCCCTGTGAGGGTGCTGAGGCACTGGCAGTTGCCCAAAGAACCTGTGGGTGCCCCATCCCTGGCAGTGTTTGAGGCCATGTTGGACAGGGCTTAGAGCAACCTGGTCTAGTGGAAGGTGTCCCTGCCCATGGCAGCAGGTTGGAACTAGATGAGCTTTAAGGTTCCTTCCAACCCAAGCCATTCTATGATATCATGATTTGTGTTCCTCACTGCTGTTCCATTTGACATTCCAGGAGAAAGGCCCGCCAGGTGAAGGCTCGCTGCATCACTCCCTGTCCTGTGGCTGGGTCTGTCTGGCCTATAGTGAGGTGCCCTACTATAAAGTACCATAAAAAAGTCCGTGCTGGCAGAGGCTTCAGCTTGGATGAACTTAAAGTAAGTATGGTGTGTTGATTCCAACCCAATCAAATTTACTGAGTCAGAGCTTGGTTGTCTTGTCCTGTTTTTCTGTATATAGACCATGTGCCGAGCTGTCAGTATCTGGTGGCACTGGCTCAGCCATGGGAGACCTGGGGGGTTGCTGCTCTACAGTGGTATAGAAAACACTGGTCTTCCTTTTTCTTTAACCAGGGAGTGGGGATGCAGTGTATATCAGAGTGAAAGGTGGCTTTGAATAAAAATAACCTTTTGTCTGGTCAGTCTGTTACTTAAAATTCTGTTAAAATTGGGTTCTGGAAGAGCTTTTGAGTCTCCTAAACTTCGTTGGGGGAGTGGAAGACTAAGAGCCTATTCATTAAATTCTTTGGTTATTTTGAAACACATTTCTACTAATCCTGGAAACTTAGCCAATGTGAACCTGTTCACATTGTGGACTGAGTAAAGCACATTTAGTTTATTTCCAGGAGAAGCAGGAGATGTTGCCAGCACAGGGACCTGCTCCACGTAGCCTCACAGGGGACTTGAGACCATTTCTCATGCAATAGCTATGAGTTGGTTTAGGAATGCTTTAAAGCCTGTGGAAGTGTTTCGTGCCCTCCATTGCTTCAGGAAACTTTCTTATGACCTTCCCAGGTGCACTGAACCAATGAGCTGATAAAAGCAGGATTGTGAGGGCCTGTGGAACCCTCACCTGTGTATCTTCTCACAGTGGGCAGGAATAATCAGGGCTCGCTGGCAGCCAGCAGTTGTCTCTTGAGCATTGCTTAGCATCTAATTAAAACATTTATAACAGTGAAGTTAGTGTACTGAAGCAGTGAAATTGTTTTTCTGGATGCCAAATGCTTCATTATTTAAGTTTTCTTTAATTTTTGGATAATAGTGGAATATAAAATGGTATGCAGATGTTTGTCTTTAAACAGAACATGAGGTTATTCCTTAAGATGATTACAAAAAATACCCTTTTAATGGTGATTCCTGTATTAGGTGAACCAGAGCTATCCGTGCAATGACTTCATAAATTTGTTGTGTGTATCAGTGTTTAAATGTTCCTCTCATGATTACTTGGGGATTGCACTTAGCTCTCCTGATGAAATCCTTCTGCAAAAATCACTGTAAAGTTAGTGGAATGTCCTCATCACTAAACTACAGACACACAGGTGCCTGTTGTCTGTGGCATGCATGACCCTTGTGCTACCACCAGGCTGCTCAGTCAGCTGCAGAGCTTTTCTCCAAGGTCTGCAGCTGTGATGGCTTTGCTTGAACCCATCCCTGGCTGATGACTGAAGCAGCTCCTGGCGGTAGTGCAGTGTCACTGGGGCTTGTTAGATGCTGACACCAAGCACTCTCTTCAGCTTGCTGGCCTCAACAAGAAGTTTGCCCGGACTATTGGAATCTCTGTGGATCCCCGGCGATGTAACAAGTCTACAGAGTCCCTGCAAGCCAATGTGCAGAGGCTGAAGGAGTACCACTCCAAGCTTATCCTCTTCCCAAGGAAGCCAGCTATGCCGAAGAAGGGAGACTGCTCAGTAAGTACTTGGCTGCTACAAACGTTTAGAATCCTAGAATAGTTTGGGTTGGAAAGGACCTTCAAAGGTCATCTAGTTCACAGTTTCACAGGGCTTGTTTCTGGCTGTCAGTCTGTCTGTCCCAGTGCTGCGTAGTCAGGCAATGCTGTTGAATTAGGGACTGCTGAGGTGGTGAAGGAGTGCAGCCTGGATGTGGGGCTGGACTCCTCAGGTTGTCTGTTGGGAGCTTTGGTCATTGCCCAACCAGTTGAATTTCAGATTACAATGCTAAATAGTCAGAATAACTGAAAAGTTCATGTGGAGTTTTTTCTGCTGTGGAGAGGGAGAAGGCGGTGAGGACATGCTCTTCAGTGGAGTAGTTCAGCAAAAGCTATGTGCAAGGCAGCCTTGAGAAGGTTTTTGCTGTTTACACACAAAAATGCTTTTCATTAAAATTCCACTGAGACACAGGGTATAGTTGGCGTCCTTTGGCTTTGCCCATGGTAGATATGTGCTTCCTGTGGGACACAGTGATATGCTTGGGCTGTCCTTGATCTTCCAGAGAGTGTCACTTTTGAGCCACTCACCTGCAGTGGAGCCCACTGCACTTGGGAGGCTTTTCGGAACAGGGGAGGAAGGGTCTGGACCTCCTCTGCCAGTAGGTAGCTACTGAAATACAGTTTCAAATTTCTTTACTTTATCTTAAAAAAAAAAACAAAACTTTTGTCTTGCGCCATACTCTTACAAGAAGTTGGAGTTAGCCTTAGAAGGAATTGCTGAGGAACATGCCGAGTATCAAACTAAAAACAACACAGTAGATGTCAGTATTTTACCAGCTGGCAGAACTCCTGGAAGGCTGCTGCTCCTCTAGGCAGATCTGGGCTAATGGATAGCCAGGCAGAGTGTGGGTTGTTGATGCAGCATGACTGTGACAAATGCTCCTGAAATGCTGAATTCCTTACAAGTAGGTGTTAAATCTCCAGTCAGAGTTGTGTTGAGCTGGGTGCTGGCATTCAAGGCATGCTTCTAACCCAGCTACCAGTCTGAGAAGTTTTAAATGCTGCTTTTTTCCACGATGGGTTTTGTCCTCTTGTTCTGCAGGCTGAGAAACTCAAAATGGCAACTCAGCTGATTGGACAGGTTATGCCGATCAAGACTGTAAGTGTGACTAAATCACATTTCCTGTGTGATAATTGAAACTTGAGCTTTGTGGAGAGGATTCTCCTGCTGTTCTGCAGCTCAGGGTTGTTGTCTCCAAGCACTTTCCATTCTGGATCAAAGAAAAGCAGGAATAGGTCAAGCTCATCCTTGTCTTTTGCCAGGAGTACCTTGATCTGTTCGGTTCCTCAGTGCTGCAAAGCAGACTGCAAAGAGCTAATTACTTGAGCTCTACTAAATGTTTTGACTGAGGAAGTCCTTAAATCAAGAGCTATGATTGTGGTTCTGGAGGAGAGCTCCAGTGTGTCAGGGTTCAGGTCCAGACATGCTGGTTGGGAATAATCATACATGTAGTCACTGTTTGTCTCAAACTCCTCGATGCTTCCAAAAGGTGCTGTTGATAATTGCTAGTGTGTCACAAACCTGACTTGGATCCCATGCTGGGCTTGTTTGGTGGGGTTTTTTAATATTTTTTTTTCCCCCTGGTATGTTCTGGCCTTGTGCTGATGTGGACAAATTGGGAAATGGGTTGAAATGAGGTGCCTGGCTGAGCAATGTTGAGGTCAGGGCCTGTAGATGGCACAAGTTCTCTGTTCTGCACAGCACCATGGAGTGAGCAGTGGAAATGGAGCAAGACTGTGTTAAGCTTTGGACACGGTCCCTGGGAGGCTCTGTGTGCAGTCTGTTCTCTCTCCCACCAGGTTTTCAAGCGGGAGAAGGCTCGTGTTATCTCGGAAGATGAAAAGAACTTCAGGGCCTTCGTCAGCCTGTGTGTGGTTCGGGCTGACGCCCGACTTTTTGGGATCCGTACAAAACGTGCCAAAGTAGCAGCAGAGCATGATTCGGAGAAGAAATGAGCCATTCTCCCTAGAACTGTCAATAAAAAAATGTGGAAACATGAGAGTGCAGTCATTTTAAGGCAAATGTATGGAACTGAGCTGCCCTACTCTGGGGGGTGGGGTGTGTGCAGGTGTGGATTGTGGTGATGACTGTACTTCCCTGGAAGCAAGTGGAAGCAACACCTGCCTTATGCCAGTGTCCTGTGGTGAGGGCTCTGCTTTGTCTTCAGAGTTGCAGCCTGTGTTGCCTCCCACCCCTCACTGTGTCTGGCCCTGTCAAGCACTGCTGAGCTGCCAGTGAGGGAGGGACTGTGTGGGGAGCTGTCCTCCCTGATGAGCTGTCTGCTTCCCATTAAATCAGTTGAGATTTTATGATTGTCACAGCTCTGCATCTGGCTGTGTGTGAGGCAGAACAGTTGGCAGGTGTCACCCCTGGGGGCTTGGCTTGCTTCTAGCAGCTGCTTGCCCCATAAGCCTTGCCCTGGGTCTCATGATGTTTGTGGGGGTAGAGACCCTAGCCTCTCTTCAACCCCTGTTGTTCCTCATATGGATCTTTAAGCCAGACTGATCTGTGGCACCAAAGAGGAGCCCTGCCCTGCCATAGAGCGGGGTCTGGGGGCTCTGGCCTGTCCTCATGGCTATTGGGGTGTCCTGGGTTTAGCAGTGGCAGTTGTTTTTCTCTTTCTTGGTAGCTGGTGCAGTCCTGTGTTTTGACTTTCGGGCTGGGAACAGAGCTGATAAAAATGATGTTTTGGTTTGGCCAAGGACTTTGTGGGCCTCATGCTCTACCAGGGAGGAGGGAAGCTGGGAGGAAGCAGAGACAGGACACCTGACCCAAACTGACCAAGGAGGTATTCCATACCACAGCATGTCATGCCCAGGATGTAACTGGGAGTTACCCGGAAGGGCTTTGTGGACTGCAGGGTTGGAGGAGGTATGAGTTGGTGCTTGGTCGGGCTGGGGGGGGGCGAGTTATCAGTCGCCTGGTGATGGGGTGTTATATTCTTTTCCCTTGTTATTTCCTTTATCATTATTATTATTGGTGGTAGCAGTAGTGATTTGTGTTATACCTTAGTTACTAAGCTGTTCTTATCTCAACCCGTGGGAGTTGCATTCTTTCTGATTCTCCTCTCCGTCCCTCCAGGAGTAGGGGGAGGGCAAGAAGAGGGGGGGAGTGGGTGAACAAGCTGTCTGGATGGGTTAAACCACGACATGGGGGAAGGGGGTGTCCTGGGCTCTGCCTCTGTGGGGTGGAGGTAGAAGTGATATAAGGAAAACAAGTGCCTGAAAAACATAGGGTTAAAATACTTTTAACTTGGACAGAGAGCAATGTTTGTGTTGTAAGCCTGTGGTGTGATAACAGAATTTAGTAGTCTTACTAACAAGAGTAAATTGTTTCCATCCTTCTAATGAGTGAAATATTTCTTACCACTCTTCTAATTATCACTCAGTTTGGAGACACTGACTCCCAAACATCTGCTAGCTTACAGTACTCCTTGTCTGCCCATCCTGTTCTGCTTGCAATAAATTTTGTATGAAGGTCATGCTGTTTTAAATCTTTGCCAGCTATCAGAAACTTGCAGATATGGTTGGTTTCAGCTAATTTGTGATTACTGGGGCATCTGACTGTGCCAAAGGTGAAAAGTGCACCGTGAGGAAGACTGCTTACTTCATCTTGAAGCCCCCTGCCCACAACCATCAGAGGGCAGTGCACAAGTGCCAAAAGGGAGGAGACTTATGATAATGAGTACCTAAACTAATTGTAATATCCCCCCGAACTCTCGGGAACCTAATGAATATGCATGTTTGTGTGTAATAAATATCTGCTTGCTTAACCCCCTGGAGTGCAGGTTAGGAGGAGTGATTCCCCTTGCACCCAGTGCCGTAATAAATATACCTGCTTTATAACTCTCTTTGAGTTGTGGAGTCTGATTTCGTGCTTCAGTGGGTCTTTGCAACCAGGATGGGCCCCTGGCACCCCACAGGGAGCAGCTGGGGAGGGTAAAGGGCTGTGAGGTGCTAGAAGTAAGGGAAGTACTATGGGGGTCTTGTCTGGACTGGGAGCACCTGCCCTGGCACAGCCAGCAGTGCTGGGAACCCTGGGGACCCCACTGAGTCTCGGTGCCTGCCGGTGGTCTCTGCTCAGATTCTGGCAGTGAGACAAGGAGGCACAAAATCACAAAATGAAATATAAACCTTTGTAAATAAGTAGAATCAGTTTTAAGACAGTTAACGGATCTTGTCATCTCCCTCTTAAGGCTTCGCTCCAGAACTGCAGCTTGAGTCAATTGTATGGAGGTGGCAGCGGCAGCTGCTCCGGTTGGCACACTGACCCCAGCCCTGTTCAGAGTCCAGGCCACCAGCACCCAGGTGAGGGGGTTCAGTCGGGCATGGTGGGAGCCGATGCTCCCTCCACTGGGGGATGTCAAAGTGTGCCTGTGATCCCGGGGAGGGGGACGATGCTCTCCAGAGCCAGGGCGCCAGAGCCATATGCCAGGGTTGCCTGCACCATGCATGAATTCGCTGGGAAACTTTGGCCATGCTGGGCATGCTTGGGCACGGGCAAGAGGGCAGCTCTGTCCCAGACCTTGCCCGAGCCAAGCAGCTCCTGGGGGGCTGGGGCTGGCAGAGCCCCTCAATGACCCATCACTGCAGCATCGTTTGGCTGAGTATCACCATCCTCCAGGTGGAGGGTGGCCTCTGTCCTCAGCTAGGGGAAGTTGCCCCATCACCCCAGGGTGCCACCAGCCCTACCTGAGGCAGCAGGAACCGAAACTATGATCTAACAGCAGGGGAGTTGATCTGCAGAACCCAGATATTATTTTACTGAACCCCCTGAGAATATCACAACACTTGTGTGTAGGCGCTCTCATATGATTTTTATAATTGCATCCGAGGAGCACTGGGAAAGAGAAGCTACAGAGATTTGTAAAAGATAGTTTGAAATGGGAGCTGGTCAAAGCAAGGGAATTCTGAAGAAAAGCCCATTGGGTTACATTTTGGAACAATGGAAAGAACTGGGAGGGTCTTCTGAGGCTTGGTAAACAAGAAAACTGATAAAATATTGTAACCAATGGTGGCCTTTATATACTTTGGAAGATCAGGAGAAATGGCCTAAAAATGGAACTCTGAGCTATAATACATGGTTACAATTAATGTTGTTCTGAGGCTGCCAGGAAAATGGGATGAAGTAATGTATACAGATATGTTTTTCACTTTAAGAAACCACCCTGAGTGGCAGACAGAATGTGAAATTAATATAGCTCTGCCAGATCCCTTAATTTTGGCTTTGGAAAAGGACAGGGAAAAAATGAAAGTTAAGATGGAGAGATGTTGTTCAGGTTGTGATATCGGGGGAATCATGTTTAAAGACAAAAAAACAGTAATCAGGAAGATAGGTCGCAAAATTATGTATCACAAGTACCTCCGAGAGGAGCATCCTCTGTACCTGTCCTATCAGATATTGATAAGGAGGCACTGATTGCTGTCACTGGCAACAAGCAGCAGAATCACATTCAGACTTAAGAAGGGGTTAAACCAGAAGTGCTGTTGCAGAGGCAGGCATCTGCAGCCCCTGCAGAGCAGGTTGAGCAGCTGTGAGAAAAAAAAAAAAAAAAGGAAAACCAAGGGGGAAAGGAGGGGAGCTCAAGCAGCTCCTGTTTTTGAGAATGGGATGGGTGCTGGGGCAGGCAAACAAGTGGGAACAGACATGTTGACAGACGGGACTGAGTGAGGGGTTCTTGAATAAATGTGGATATGAATGAAGGAGGAGGCATGGAGAGTGTATACGAATCAGGAACAGGTAGAAAAGAAAAAGCTGGGTCATGCTATAGCCACAGCTGCGGTGGCTGCTTTGAAACTGGTGGGAGGAGGAATGTCAGAGGGTGGGGAGTGGGCTCTTCTTCTGTGGAACTGGATCGGTGTGTGTGCTATGGGGAATTTGGACATTGTAAGTGAGACTGCCCTGGGGGGGGAGGAGTGCCATGGGGTGGCTCCGGTAACTGAATTGGAACTAGACTGACAGGGACCTGGGGAATCTACCCTAGTGGATCCACTGGTTATAATGGAGCTAGGGAATGAACAAGAAAAGACTGAGTTTTTAATAGACACAGGAGACACATATTCTGTTTTAAATCAAGCCCTAATACCTGTAGGAGATCACAGTATCACAGTATGTTAGAGATTGGAAGGGACCTCAAAAGATCATCTAGTCCAATCCCCCTGCCGGAGCAGGAACACCTAGATAAGGTTACACAGGAACGCGTCCAGGCAGGTTTTGAATGTCTCCAAACAAGGAGATTCCACAACCTCCCTGGGCAGCCTGTTCCAGTGTTCCGTCACCCTCACTGAGAAGAAGTTTCTTCTCAGGTTTAAGTGGAACCTCTTGTGCTCCAATTTGTACCCATTACCCCTTGTCCTTTCATTGTTTGCCACTGAGAAGAGCCTGGCTCCATCCTCGTGACACTCCCCCTTTATATATTTATATACACTAATAAGGTCACCCCTCAATCTCCTCTTCTCCAAACTATAGAGACCCAGCTCCCTCAGTCTTTCCTCATAAGGGAGATGCTCCACTCCCTTAATCATCTTAGTTGCCCTGCGCTGGACTCTCTCCAGCAGGTCCCTGTCCTTTTTAAACTGAGGGGCCCAGAACTGGACACAATATTCCAGATGAGGTCTCACCAGGGCAGAGTAGAGGGGAAGGAGGACCTCTCTCGACCTACTAACCACCCCCCTTCTAATACACCCCAGGATGCCATTGGCCTTCTTGGCCACAAGGGCACAGTGTCGGCTCATGGTCACCCTGTCGTCCACCAGGACCCCCAGGTCCCTCTCCCCTACACTGCTCTCTAACAGGTCGTTCCCCAGCCTATACTGGAACCTGGGGTTGTTCCTGCCCAGATGCAGGACTCTACACTTTCCCTTGTTATATTTCATCAAGTTATTCCCCGCCCAGCTCTCCAGCCTGTCCAGGTCCCTCTGGATGGCAGCACAGCCTTCTGGCGTGTCGGCCACCCCTCCCAGCTTAGTGTCATCAGCAAACTTGCTGATAGTACACTCAATTCCCTCATCTAAATCGTTGATGAATATATTAAATAATACTGGTCCCAGTACCGACCCTTGAGGCACTCCACTAGATACAGGCCTCCAACTAGACTCCGCCCCATAGACTACAACTCTCTGGCTTCTCTCCTTCAGCCAGTTCACAGTCCACCTCACTACCCGATCATCCAGACCACACTTCCTCAATTTAGCCGCAAGGATGCTGTGGGAGACCGTGTCAAACGCTTTGCTGAAGTCAAGGTAGACCACATCCACCACTCTACCATCATCCATCCACGAGATGGTTGCATTATGGTAAAAAGGGCAACTGGCCAAAGTGCAAAGGCATACTTTTGTAAACCATTCAAATATCAATTGGGAAAACAATGGGGCATTCATAAGTTTTTGTATATGCCTAACTCCCCAAAAGCCCTTTTGGGAAGAGATTTGTTAGAACATTTGGGAGCAACTATTACTTTCAAAAGAGGCGAGATCACTTTAGAAGTAAATGACCAACAGTATAGAGAGATGTTAAGCTTAGTTTTCTTCATTAATCACGTCGAGGGAGAAGTTAGGGAAGATTCAGTGGATCAGGTATTCCCAGGAGTATGGGCCACAAATGTACCTGGAAAAGCCAAAAATGCACCCCCCGATACAGATTAAGCTCAAGGAGGGAAAACAGCCAGTCAGGATCAAACAATACTCCCTGAAAAGGGAAGATAGGGAAGGAATTTGTCCAATAATTGAAAACTTCCTACAGCTAGGACTGGTAAAAGAGTGCCAATCTGATTTTAACACCCCTATTTTACCTATTTGTAAACCTGATGGTTCATACCGCGTGGTACAGGACTTATGGGCTGTTAACAGAATAACTGAGGATCTTTACCCCATAGTGACAAATCCATACACTTTGGTAACATGCTTAACGCCAGAGCTAAATTGGTTTACCGTTCTAGATTTGAAAGATGCTTTCTTTTGCCTCCCTCTCCACGAAGCCAGCCAGAAAATCTTTGCATTTGAATGGGAAAGCCCTAAGAGTGGGTGCAAAACCCAGCTCACAGTGGACGGTGCTGCCTCA